TGTAAGAATGTAATTTATGCAATACGGCAATCACAGTCACAAAGCAACAAGTCGTTTGTACTACACTGCGCCCTCATTCGTTCACTAATCAACATAAATCCATACCATTTCCCTTGTACAAATAGGAGAGATAGACATTTACGGGTATGCGCCAAATGTTTACAGCTTATTGAAATATAAGGCATTGTCAAAAGTGACACAATTCTGACTTTATGCTACTTGGAGCGCAGTACTGTGATAATTCATAGGGCATTTGCATAACATTATATATATAATGCCATTCAATTGTTCGTCTCGTGTTTCCCAACGCATTTAAAACTCCCTTTTGAATTTGGAGGACTTTGTGTGACTGACCGTGGTGTTTGTAAACTTTAGTCGAACTGTTGTAGTGTGTAAATCTGCCACAAAGTGGAGTTGCCATCGTCTCTTGTTTACCAACTCATTTACGTTTGTGCCTCAACGAGGACTGAAAAGTGATTTTCATTTACTTCGTCTGTTATAAATCAACTGTATTAGCGTCCTTCGAACTTCCTATTGCCATCGGCATTATGTCTACTACACTCGGCGGTGTAGTGCGTATCGATCTTCTTGTATGAAACGCACCCGAACCCGGAAATCGTCGGCAAATCGGGATGTTCTCGTCACGTAATTTCTTACCTTGTTTTTGGTAGTACTGTATTGGTCGAAGTGAAACAAACATGGCTGCCGTAATGCATGTTGTTCGACTAATCGATCGTGTTTCTCTTCCTGTATTATAGTTACATGTTTTCTTTGATTTTTTTATTTCAATTAAACAGCGATTTGGCTGTGGCCATGCATTTAGTCATTGTCGACTGTTTTTTCTTGAATTTCATAGTAGCATACGCTAAGTACAATTAAACGTCCCGAGTTGAACAGTAGTCATTTCCCAGGTTCACAATAAACAAACATGATTATTTAATTTTGTTTAACTTCTTCTCTTAAAAATTGCGTTTCCAAAATAAATAAATAATAACAGGTACCCTCATGTATACTTCAAGTTTTCATTAAAACAAAGTCAAAGTTTTTGAAATTGCTATTCTGTTTGTTCGCCAATCCATTGCTCCAAAACACACCTTTAAATAATCTTATTTCCCAAACATCGAGATAGCTCTGCCAACTCTTGTTACTGTTATATGCTATTCATGGCATATATTGCTAGTATAACAATTCGAATGATGACATCATTGACATATGACAGAGATTCAATCATGATATTTGCTGTTATCGTAAAATTGTTATCACGTCACACACACAGAACATTTATCAGAGCTATGGAAACCCAATGCATTGAAACAGTGCCTTAATGGATACATTGTTTCAAAGCATATACACCAATAACAGTATTTATAGTGTCTGTGAGCACGTGAAGTTCAACACATTACACTCCGATTATCCTGACATGTTCTTTAAATCAAGAAAATTAGTAAATCTGACTGCATACACATGATATCTGCAATAGTAAATAGTCTGAATGTCATTTGACGATGTATGAATAAAACGTACAATGAAACCTGACAACGCTAATGACTTGATAACCATAAACTCTTCCAAAATAACTTCTATTGGCTCATAGTATGGCAAGTGTTGGTGTCGACAGACACACGAACACGTTACAAAAAGCTAGGTTTATCGCACTATTCAATTCATATAAAACACCATCGTTGACGATCTACTGTTGAAGAATGACCATTGAATCAAATGACCAAAATGAACAGAAATTTAATCCAAAACGGATAAAAAGGAGAACGTTATTTTCAGATTCATCGCATGACTCCCTCAAACTTTGTGAATAGCCTCAAAGTAAAACAAATATTGAGTTGCGGCTTATCCAAGGATTGAACAAAATAATAAATTTCATCCGTATTCGGTGTCACATACACTAATGTGTTATCTACCAAGAGATAGACATAAACTATCGGCATCCGTATGTAGCCGTATCATTTGACACACACACATATGATAGCTTTGACTGTATTTTAAAACGCCAAATTAAGACGCCATTGCCTAAAACTATATAAAGCTTTTGCGTCATGCTAAGACGGTGTGTCTAATCGCCAGTAATTTTCAACTACTGTATGCATGTGTGTGCGAACCCGCATCGCCATGTGTAGACGTTGACAGGAATATGATTGGAGTTTAACAATCAATTTATTTTCTGAGTTTACATTGTCAGCCATTCATATTTGACATTCCATATTTAAACAGTGAGACACAACAGACCCGGTGAGATATTTAACAAATACCACCGTTTTGTAACAAACTCAATGCGGTTTCATTGTATCGCTGACAAGTTATGTAAGCTACAATTTCAACAAGTAAAATACAAATTAGTTTATAACATACTTGACAATATATTCAATTTTCAGCAATTCTTGAATGTTTAAATAACGTTTGTCAATTTCAAAATTACTACATTCACGTTCATTCAATTTGTTTTCTGAACAAATGTCATTGAAGTCTCCCCCACGTGTAATACAAGCACAGACACATTACGAACGTCATCGATACCTATCATGATGATGCATGATTGTACATTTCAAGAATAATAATAATAACAACAACAACAATACAACAGCAGCAGAAACGGCGAGCAAATCTGAGTCTATTCTCCTTAGCCGGAAGCACTTCGTTGACTAGAAACCAGTTTTTTAACAAGCGCCCAAGAGCAGATGCGAATATTAGGCGTCTGGCAGTCTGCTTTGCTTAAGCAATAGTTAGAGACAATCGTCCAACATTTGGCACAAACGAATACAAATATGGGTAACAAACTGGATATCATCGTACAAAAAAGAACATAAAATGTGGGTGAAAGTAAATGTCCAATTGTTATATAATAAATAGTGCGTGAAGAATGGTATTAGTTCTAAATTATAGAATAAGTGAATTTATGTGTTTCCTACCTTTGTGTCACCAAAAAACGCTTGGATGTCTTTTCTCATGTTTTGTCGCCGTCCAATATATTAGTGTAAGTAGTGTAAGTAGAAGTTGCCTTACCGAGTGTAGGTGGTGTAACAACTGGCACTCGATGAATCAGTGAGTGTTTTCAATAGTTAGTATGTATGTTCAATCATGTTTATGCGGATCGACGAATTGAAAGTGGTTGACAATAAGGTGAATAAAATATTCCGCTTTCAAACTTGTGTGATTTTACAGCACGTTATTTGATCATTGGTCAGAAACCATTTATGTTTTGACTAGTTTGCAACTTAAATGATGTGTATCTTATTGAAGAATGCTCAATAACAACACTGACTGTCACAAAACCCTTAGACACACTTAGATACGGCATATGAACTAATGTATTCCGTATAGGTTGTTATAGTACGTTTTAAGTGACCTTTAGCGAAGATCAATTTAGTGCTTTCCTAACTTAATTCGCACAAGAGCGGATTGTCGAAACTCAGTTTGTAAACGATATAAGACAAATATCAAAATTTTAACTTTCCTCTATCTGTTTTATAATCATCAAAAGATAATAGCGACGATAAGATCCTACAAAACCTTTATATAGAGCTATTACGTAGCAGTATGCCCCAAGGCTATTATAAAATAGAGTTAGCACACCACTGGGTGAAACCGTGGTATGCTACTACGTAATCGAGGGGGATAAATAATGTCAGATAAAACAAATAAGTGCCATATGGAACTAGGTGCATTTGCACTGACATATTGTGGCCTTAGTAAATGCTGTTTGTGTATATATATACTCAACGGTTATATAAAGACACATATTATACAATTATGTGAATAACATGTGTACAATTGGCCGCACGTTGCAACGCGTTGTGTAAACTCATTTCCGAGGTCAAACAATTACACCGAATGACGTTAATGATTGACATTTTATAATAACAGTGACGGAAGTAATGTTTGTTTACTGGAATGTTAAATGGTATTCAACATTGTTCTACATAAACAAGTTGTATTGTTTGAATAACATACGGTCTAGTCAAATAAGTATAGTAATTACAAAGTCGCGTCATTCAATCAACTGATAGTCTATGTACATGTGTTCTTTAGTTTATCGCGCTTCAAAGTAATATCTGTTGGATAAAAGACGTACACGGTTGACGTTATTGCCATACAATATCTTGTTTATCTGCTGTGAAGTCTGGTAAGCATGCATATTTCCTGTTCATTTTGCGTAAAAACCGTTTATTTATTCGTCTTTTTAATTTATATTATGTCATTTATTAACTTCATTCACCACTGATTATATGAACCGTTATTTATTGAGTGTACTTATGGAAATCTAATTTCTACAATGTGTTGTGATTATTTGAATTTTATAGATTCCGTTCAACTTGACATTATCATTTGGGGCTTAGATTTTTTAATAATTTAGGTTGTCAAAACAACACAGCTTTGCAGTTGTGCGAAATAGTGTATGTAATGATATTTAAAGGAAAGCGTACATTGTCTGCATTGAAGTCAAAATATCGAGATTACGATGCAGTATCGCACATTTAAATAATCTCTCTAACATACATGGCTGCACAACTATATGGATGTGTTTTGGGGTTATATTTGTGGTTGGTCTACTCAACTTCGTTGGTGAGGAGATTTAGTAGAATGTCTGCACGTCTATGAAATCTTTAGATTGAGATGGATACTGATACATTTAAAATGTGAAGGGGTCGTATGCTTTATTCCGGCTCTGACCAAAAACTGTCGATACTATCTGTTTGATTACTCCTTCTCGACTGCAAAATGCTTGGTAGAGTATGAATATGTGTTTGTCAATCTGTAGCAAAAAAAAAATACATTTCAAACACATTAATGCCGAGCTTTAACGAACATATCGATAAGACATCAATTATTTCCAGCTACAGTGTGTACAAGATTTCATATTTGGGGAGTCGTCAAACACGATATCGAGTTTTTATTGTAGAATATTGAATATTGAATATTGTTCAACGTATGTTAATCATAACATTTTTCAGCTGTTCTGTACAATTATCACACGAATCAGAAACACAATGACCCGGATATTATTGTTACTCTTCGTGGTGAGCACGTTATTGCCTGCCGTACGTTCAGGTATGTAGACTGACTCATTGAAAGGGCCCGTTTATTCATGTTGATGTACATATTTTGTAAGTAATGCTACACACAACATACGGTCTTAACCTGAAAGGCCTCCATGTCAGACCATTTGAAAGGCACGAATCAATACAACCCAGTGACTTTTAATAAATTGAATAAAATAACAATTAAATTATGCATGCTTTGATTTAAATAAAAACAATATGCATGGTATTGTGATGTCAGTGTACAAACAAATTAAAACTCAGATCTGCGAATGATATTAATTAGAAACATCTACAATTAATGACTCAATTCCAATAGAGTGCGAAGTTTTGATTAAGACATATTTTCATGCTGAATACAAACACACTGATTACAAGAATGCACATCAAAATAAAATACCACGATTTTACCGGTTCTGGAATAATATTTAGCCTTTTTGTACTTCGTTCGTTACGAAACCAAATTCACCGTACACAGTCTCTAATACGCATTACATATTTGCTGTTATCTTTAGCCTGTGACGTAGAGACTCAATTCACATGCAACGATGGTCGGTGTATTCCTGTGTATTGGCGTTGTGATACAAAGCCACAGTGTGATAATGGCGAAGATGAGATATCATGTGGTAACAGTTGTTTTTAGTAAAATACGTTTAATATTGTATAAATTATATTAGTTATATTAATATTTGAATTCAAATTGTTGATCTCCCATCCGTTAATTATTGTTTTCAATCATACGACTTCCATGCAATCACATTTTTGGCTGAAATATGCTAATGTTGCATGCTAACAGTGAGAGTTGTTATTTTAGACACTGCTGTGTGTCCGGATACTTATTCGTTCCAATGTCGAAGCGGTAAATGTTTAAAAACTAGTTGGAAGTGTGATTATCGCATCAATTGTCCCGATGGTGACGACGAAATGGGATGTGGTAAGTATATGT